TCACCTTCTTTTTCCTTCTTGTTCCAGAAACTCCAGTCAGTAATTTCTAACGAACCAGAAATAGTTTAGAAGGATTCAAAACTGGGTATCTATCTATATATATATACTAGATGTACTTCTGCTGGTGTTTTGTTTCAAGAGTAAATAAAACCAAAATTAAGAGTAACAAATATTCGTATTACTTGGTTTTGAAGTTCATAGTAACTGTGTTGTAGCTTACAGAATGCATAATTCTTCTCGTGCTTCATGGTATGCACACGTTTTACTGACGTCATAACATTACAAATTGCAACGTCAAGCGTCCCTTATGTGGTGTCATTTTAGTGTCTACTGAGTGACTGACAGACAACATACTACTGTATAGTTGTGCGAATTGGTAAAACAGGTGACCCCTAACGGGCGGCCTTCGGCTCCCTTTCGAGAAAATTACAAAGTTGACATTTTACTCCTGCTGTACAAAAACTAGGCTTAAACATATCACGGTAACTGTGGTTCTCACTATAAAAAATAGTTGTAAAATTGTGTTTCGTGGCTTCCTAAGTAACGTGTATCTACGTATGTACTCCAAGGTACAATCCTCGTAAGTTTAATATTAATCGTTTACTATATATGACAATTTTAAGTCTATTCGGTTTGGTAATAACCTACCATGACGGCAGGATTAGTCGAACCCCCCTTTAAATTCAGAACATTCGTTCAAATAAATGGAGGGAGTTTGGAGATGGTATTAATCTTTGTTTGATTTCCATCAAGTACCAGGGAGTGGGAAGTACATTCCTGGCACTTTTAGTACTCGTCGTAAAAACTCGTAGAATAGGTAAGGTTATACGTCAATAATATTGAGATGTATAAACTAAATCATGTACCTTAACTGTACTGGTAAAGGTACTCGCACGAGCCAGACTCGGTATTTATTTTCTTGGCTTCACGTGCGTGTGCGTCATTCATCAACACTAATTGTTATAATTAGAAAACGAATAAAGTAAATTATTTTAGAACCTTCTCCGGGGCGTATTGAAGAACCCCTGAAAATTTAATAGCGATAAGGTGTTGGGGAGTTGGGAAAAGTTCGTCACGAACGAATAGACAGACAAATACAAATTTTAATCTGAAACCTCTTCAGTCTCATCTGTCTATCACATTTCTGCTATTTATCCACATGTTTGTCTGTCTGTCATTATTTCTATTCCATTTGCTACATTATTATATATTCAGAGGGGCGGAGTGGGGCATTAGAGAGCTTTGCCTCCAGCAGCCCCCACCCACCTCAGGAATAGTCTTATATGATTTTTCAATTCTCTACACTGTGATTTCCACTGAAACTATTAATTTTTTACTGCCCTTCAAACTAACTCTTTGCCCCCTTATGACATTTCAAAATGATAATTGAAAATAGTCCTAGAAAAGCCACTGTATACGTTAAGGAAGTTTGCCCCGAGGTCTGTTGATCTTTGGTTGAAACAGCCTTAAATCTAGTGAAGAACTGACGGTATGCTCTTCGCCTAGTAAAACTAGCACAAATCGAACATTAGATTTACCTACCTGTACATGTTCTAGTTACAGGTCTCTCGGAAAAGAAAACAAAAAAAACAACTTGACAGATCGGGTTAAGAAAGATGGAATTGTTTCAGCTTTTTGAATACCTCAGAGTATTAACTAAGCTCAACATATCTCAGTTCCTTGACCCTGAAACCTCAAAGTGTGTGGATTATGTGGGACAGTTGATATATGATACAAGGTTTTTACCTAAACCTTCAAGCTATTTGTTTTCGTTTTAGAATATTAGAGCAAAGCTACACATAGAGCTGTCTCCTCATAGCCGAAGACACGTTGTCAGCAGCACCCACCGCCAACTCTTATTGTACCTCACCGAGTAATGGAGTTTGAGCGTCACTTTTATAACAGATCAACGGCCCCCAATGTGTGGAGTGTATTCAACGGGACGTGAACCACGAACTCCCCGACCTACAGTCAGGACACGCTAAGCACTAGGCCGCTTTAATCTCAGTCTGGTATGTCTTAAACCAATGAACTACATTGTAACAAATGAACGATACGTTAACCACCGTTTGGTATGTTTTAAACCAATGAACGACAGTGTAACAAATAAATAATGCGTTAATCACAGTCTGGTATATCCGTATCATTTATATGTTACACGTAGTTCATTGGTTTAAATTAATCCCGGCTTGGTATGTTTTAAACCAATGAACTACATTGTAACAAATGAACGATACGTTAACCACGGTTTGGTATGTTTTAAATCAATGAACTACAGTGTAACAACTAAATAATGCGTTAATCACGGCTTGGTATGTTTTAAACCAATGAATTACAGTGTAACAAATAAATGATACGTTAATCACGGCTTGGTATGTTTTAAACCAATGAACTACAGTGTAACAAATAAATGATACATTATTTACAGTTTGGTATGTTTTAAACCAATGAACTACAGTGTAACAAATAAATGATACATTATTTACAGTTTGGTATGTTTTAAACCAATGAACTACAGTGTAACAAATAAATGATACATTAATCACAGTTTGGTATGTTT